TTCCAGTAACATTACAAATAAGGAATCCCCATGTCGAATGTCCAGCCGTCTTAGTAGTGTCGTTACTTGTGATTCAATCATTTGTACACAAAGATTCAAAAAAAAAATCTAGTGGATGGGAAGTGCGTTTGCCCTGATAGCAGTTTGTAAATGTCGAGATGCAGCAAGGAAAGAAATGGCCAAACGAGTGTTCTGCAGAAGAACAAGCACGAGGACGGCAAAAGCCGGCCGGTGACAAGCGCAGCCTTAGTTTAGCTCTAATTGGCAGTACGGGAGATCTTGACCGTGCAGGTGAAATAGTGATAAGGAAATTTTAGTCAGATGGTGAATGTCGCAACATTCGTTATTTCAACGCTATGTAATACGCCGTTCCGGACGAGCAAGCCATTCAATCCGCTGTGGTGTGAGACTTTCGAAATGGACAGAACCTACGATCGTGGATGGCGGGCCATTGCTGAACAGGTTAAAAACTTACTCAACTGACTGTTACCTGCTGGAAAGAGGAAAAAGCAGAATTTGTATAACTTCTCCAAGGGATGATACTCATTTTTGGGCAAGATAGGTTAATGACGACAAATAGCCTCAGCAAAGAGGTCTTTTCACGATTACTTTGATACTCAAGATTACTTGAGCGGGGAAGTTTGGACTTTTTGCCTTTCTTTGATATTGATTAAAACTTGTTGAAAAGCTCCATGAATTTACAAAACAAATCGTGCAAACTGAAATCAACGGCTGCGATCATAGCGATGAAACTGCTGCTGGAGTAGTGGGAATAACTGAAAACCTTTATGAAGAGCTTCAACATTTCCAGTCTTTTTACCGTCCGATGAGCAAATACTTCTAACATGGGTTAACTACGCTGAATGTCTGGGCGATCTTGGTGTTCTTGACGCAAATGTTTGCTCACTGTAGCTTAAAAACGAATCTCAGAGGTTTGGAGATGTATCACAGACCCAGGAAAACGATTCCGCTACTTCATATTTTTCATATTTGCAATCCTAGGTGAGCCATCATCCGCCGATCAGTGCAATTCATGCGGAAGGAAATGGATGGATTTTGGATGAGGACATGTGCGTACGGTCTAATTTTCAAGCGACAGCCATGAAAATTTTTCCAGAGGGCACGATTAGCATTTTCTTCCCAGTGAGTCCCTGACTGATTAGTATTTTTGCATCTTCAAGTGTCTTCTCAAAAAAAAAATTTGAATCAAAAGTTTTCAAGTTTCTGTTTCGAATGTGCAGCTTCCTTAACTTCTCTTCAGGACGCACAGCTCGGGGTCAAAGGTCTAATACAGCTGTGTCCGAACCTATCGTAGATCTCCAAATCAGTCAGCTCGGTACTCTTGGTAGACTCGGTAGTTTCTGGATTAATTCTAAGTTAATCTGTCAGTTAATCGGTTGAAATTAAATTATCTGGTTGTGAACAAAGCTAAATGTCAAGCAAAATTTGCTATAGAAAACGGAGAATTTCACTTCGGAGCAAAAATCCCCCACGAAATGCTATTTACAATTTGACACTCGTATGCCTACAAGTATCAG